TTGACGATGCCACACCATACTATAAGGCTCCAACGTCTTTGATGATTCACAGTCCTGTGCCAATGAGGATTCTCATCCGACCAATAATGGCAATTATGCCTATTGAGTTCTCCGTCACTTTGAAATTTAGCTTCATCAGAAAAAAGCATAAAGTTGAAAAAAACAGGATCATTCTCTATCATCTGCAAAGCCCATTGGCAAAACATAATTCGCTGTTGAAAATGATGAAACTGTAACTCTTGAACTAAAGTTAAATGATAAGCATGATATTTATGGACTTTAAGAATTCTCAAAAAGGTTCTTCTAGGTATGCCAATTTCTCTTTCAACTCGGCGACTGCTGATATGAGGATCAAGGTGAACGATTGCAAGAACAGTCAGAACACGAGCATCATTTTCGTCGTATTCGTGGCGCCTGCGATGGCGAACCATATGTCCACCACGAGCTCTTTCAGTTAATGTACTTATTGTCCTATGATCTGGGTGTCGTCTATCTGGAAAGCGTTTAGCGTAAAGTCTTGCTGCAACACGATAATTATTATGACTTTCGCCTAACACCATTATCATATCAACAATGTCATCGGGCTGATAGTCAGCCATTTTTAGAGCTGTTCTTCACCTTAACAAATTGTAGATAATGCAATGTTAATCGAAATTTTACAAACTATAAAAAAAGAGAAGAATCGAAGAATTATTGAATCGTACTTTATGACTATAAAAATCAAATTGATGTAACAACTAAACAAAGTATGTTTTTATGAGAGAGATATTCAAAATATTCATGAGACATGTACGTACTAAGGATTTTTAATATTCATTGTTTTTTTCGCAATCATTATGGAGTCGCCGTCTTTACTTGCATATGGGTTATGGGTTGGGTTATGGTTATTGGTCCGATTATCGTTATGGGCTCGTTTTGGATTATGGGTTGCGTTGGGTTATGATTTAAGTTATTAGTTAGTACGATACTTACGCATGCGCAGTAATAATTATTTTTTTGAGGAAAATGTTAATAGGCATACCTATTTCTGGGTAGCGCTAAAAGTAAGGTTAATACAGTTAAAGAAACTCTCAAAAATATAAGGTTTGAAAATATGTGATTCCCATTTTAAAAAATCACTATGACCTTGAAATAACCTTGAAAATCGAGTTTAAGGTCAAGATCAGAGTACAGATAGGTGACCCCCTCGGCCCCCTTTTACATTTGTCTGAACCAATTTTACGTATTTGGATTAGGTTCCGATATATATAATTGGGAAATCCAAATTCGCAAACCTGACCTTCATTCGACCTTGCCATGACCTTGATTAACATATCATTTTAAACGTAAAATTTCCCGCTCTTTTCAAATCCGGGGTCAAAAATAGGTGTTCCCATTTAAAAAAATTCACTTTGACCTTGAAATAACCTTGAAAATCGAGTTCAAGGTCAAGGTCCTTGGTACCATAACGTGACCCCCTCTGTCCCCTTTTACTTTTGTCTGGACCATTTTTCTCTATCTGACTTAGATTACGAGAAATTCTCAGGTGGGGAGATTAAAATGGCCCACCGTGTATATTAAATATATATAAACATAATTATATATAAATATATATAATTATATAATTATATTAAATAGTAAGTTATATATTAAATTAAATAGTAAGTTATATATTAAATTAAATAGTAAGTTATATATTAAAAAGTAAGGATACATTAATAGATATGAGATTAATTAAATTTTTATTTATTTTCGAATTGGTCGTCTCTACTGCTTAATGTCTATTTATTTTTATTTATAACTAAAATATGTACACTTTATGATATATAAATTCATCAAGAATATAAATAAATATTTTTTAATATTAATTAGAAATATTGAATAATAATAAGTGTGTTCGCACTTTTTTTATTTAAACGTTGCAAGTGTTGTACAGGTTAGGCTACATTCCGATATTCTGTGTCAGTACGGAAGACTTATAAATTATAAATAATACTTAGACAACATAATGTCTAAAATCGGGACAAACGACGTCTTAAAGATAATCTTTAATATGCCTTAAAGACATTTATACATAAATCGTCTGAAAGACATCTTAAAGATGATCTTTAAGACGTCTTATATCCCGATTTTAGACATTATGTTATCTGAGTATACATTATTTTGCTTTCAAAATAATGTTTTGACTCAAAACATGATAGACAATAAATTTCCCATCATCGTTGCCCCTGCTACCCCCACCCTCCTGTCTCCTCCCCCTCTCTCACCTTATGCTAAGTACTATCCCAAGTAGAACAGGTTGCTTAACATTTTTCAACGAGGGACCGAGAAGACGAAAGGATCGTCATCGCTCTCACGGAAAATCACCGTTTAAACGGTACGCAGGTACCAGCACTTTAACTCTTGTCACATAAGAACTTGTTATTGTTCCGATTTCGGCTGTTGCTGGCGATGTTTGGTTACAGCAACACTGCTAGACGCGAAAAGGAGAGATGTGAGACGGGACCTCAATAGCTGACAAATACCGGCAGCAAGGCAGGTGCCGCGAAAACAATAATATCCCGACGAGGCAGAATCGAGAGTGAGAGAGAAAGAGAGAAAGAGGACGAGACAGAAAGGGAGAGCCAAAGAGGAACTAATATCGGTAACAGAGAGACAAAGGAGTGAGATTCGATCGCAGCTTCGTGAGCGAGATAGTTGAGAAACAAGCGGAGCCGAAGTATCGCACCGAGAGTTTCCTCTGGATCTCGTGGCAATTATTGAACCGGGCACTATCGAGAACTCCCTACGAGCACCATAACGACGCGCCTATCGTGACGGAGTAATTATCGTCGCTACGAGACGTGGGTCACCAGTGTCCGAAGCAAGTCAACATCGGGGCAAAGCGAGGCGGACTCAAGACACATCCTTCGCGAGGACAAGGAACCGAACGCGGAGCACAGGATCGCAAGCCCAAGGTAGCGGCGAGGAAGAGCGTGATTATTGTAAGGCCTCCCACTTATTTTGATTTCGTGTAGTCGTAATACCGTATTGTCGAAGCCGTCGCATGCAGAGTGGCTGCGCGAAGAAAAAAAGAAATTTAGGCTTGCGAGCGATCTCGCCTATCGTACCGACGCGAGAACTTGGCGAGATTTAGAAAATACAAGACTCGAAGCGAGTGCGTACCGAGTCAAATAAAGCATTGTTACCGATAGATTGACTTTGTTCTTCATTACTCTTGGCTTCATTACTCCTAGTGAAAAACCCGTCCTATCTCCGACTCAAATTACCGAAGAGCGACCGGTCCCGTGGAGTCCTGTCACCACTGACGATATTAGTGCAGACATACTCTTTTTTTTTTTTTTTTT